TCAAGAAAATTAGTCATTACTTTATTAATGTCAGGTGAGGAGGGAGAAGGATGAATTGAGCGTTGGCCGGAGGTAGCCTGAGCATATGAACGAGAAGCGTTTAGGGGGGCGTCATTTTCTGGGTGGCTAGTTTGTACAACGTTTGACCTAAGTCTAGAGTTATCTGACAGAAATACATTATTAGAAGAGGGTTTCTTTCGACGTTGAATTTCTTTGTAGACTAAACAGCCTTTGTAGTTGGCTGGGTGGTTTCCTTGACAAAGTGCACATTTGGGTGGAGCATCACGAGAGTTTGAGCAGTCGGATGATTGGTGGAAATCACCACAGCGAACACAGCGTGATGGGTAGTTACAATAAGTTTTAGTATGGCCATATTCCTGGCAGTTTAAACATTGACTTATTATCTTAGGTTTATACGGTTCCTCGACTTTTATTTTAGTATGGAGCATGGAGGTTAATTTATATATGTCATTTGATTGAGGGGTAGGTTCCAGATCAACGAAAAATAGTGGTAATGGATGTTTGTGGACTTTATGAAGAACATTAGTAACATTACGTACTTCAAATTCACGGAGTTCCAGTTCTGATTTAATTAAGCTGATTTGAGTTGTTGGGTGTAGATTGCGAATCACTACACGAGTGGGTTTATCTTGTTGGAGTTGATACGTGTGATATTCAGCTTTTTGCTCCTTGAGGAAGTGAATTAATGTCCTATATGTATCAGGAGTGCTAGTTTGGATTTTTAATCGATCCGTGGATGACTTACAAATAAAGTTTTCAACACCAAGTATCTCAATTAGATTTGTGCATAGTGCAGGAAAGTCTTGCACGCCTTTTATAAAAATTGGAGGAGGGGGTTTGGTAGTAGATTCTGTGTTGTTTTTTTCCGTTTTGTTTGAGAATGTGTTAGTGTTTTGAGTATCGTCATGATCATCAGTTATTTTTAAAACTTCAAATCTATTTGATGATGAAAATAATTTTTTTTTGATTGGTTGAGAATGTACTTTAGGTGAGATTGGCGGTTCAGAAGAAGAGGAGCTGGAGTGATTTCTTTTACTGCCCTGTACGGACCAGCCATCATTTGCTGTGCTGTTGTTTACATTCGATTGGGACGATGAATTGTGTACGCTTTTATTATTAATAATTTTGATCGGCGTAATCGGTCTGTTGTTGTTGTTAGACATTGTGGCGAGAGAATTGATATATATATATTACGATAACGAGTGCACGCGATAGCGTAGCTATAAAAATGATCAAGGCCGCCGCCGCGACGGCCGTGATGAACCTCAAATGTGTTTAACGTATAACGCCGAAACGAATGAACTATATTAAACGTAATTGGGGAACTTTGAGTTAAATTATGCTAGTAAACGATTAAGAAACGCGACTACCACATTTCCAAACGCCGTTTACAGGTATTATTAAGTGAATTAATTAATTAAAAGAGAGAAAAATAAGATAAGACATCGGGAGCGCGAATACACGTGCGCACCAGATAACCGCTATCGCAGAACTGTTAATATATTAAAAACAAAATGGATTCAATAAGTAATTTTTACTAATTATAACCAATCATCTTAAGGCAAGGGATGTAAAAGTGTGATGTTTTCAGTCCGTACTAAACGGTAATAAATTAATAAGAAGTTGCAAAGAAAAAGTGCCCCTTGAAATCTCGTCCCCCGTTGTAAGTGCCCCCTTACACCCACGCTAAATGCTTCACTGTCTACAGATACGCATAAAAAGGTTTTTTTGAAAGTCATTTCGTCATTATTAGTTACAACACTTAATGACTGTAAGTTCTCCTTCGTCACCATACCCCGACCTTATCAAGGCGGGAATCATCATAACACCACATTTTGTTTTTTTTTATTAGCTTAACGCTTTGTTTATAATGTTTCTATATTTTAAAGTACAATATTCAGTATTTTTTAGTTGTTTTTTGTATGATATGTCATAGGCCATAGCTGTTCAGAAAATCCACTACGATAATATGTTTTATAAAATGTTAGGCACAAAATAATACACATAGTATATAAAATACAGTACATATTATCATGTATACATTCATAGCAAATGTACACATAGTATGTATTAGAGTGACTCATATTTTTATGTTTCATACATTTTATAAAGTGTTTTTGCAACATTTTTGTGTAGTTTTAAAAATTGTTTTTTTTCGAAAACAAGTTTTTCAATACGATTGCTGTTGTGTAACGTATTGGGTTTTGTTGTTTGTTTAGGCAACTATTAAAATGTTAGAACTAATGTGTTGTATGAACGTAAAAATTCGTTGGTCCACTAATTATAGCGAATAGCTATTTTGTACATTTAATATACAATATTATTCTATTAAATGTATTTTTTTGAACGTTTGAATTTGCTTGCTTGATAGTACCAGGTTGTTACAAATATTATAGCGAACCGTATTTTATATAAAAACCAATAATAATACTAAAACAAATATTTTTTCATCTACGAATGTGTTGTATTCTATTTAACACATGCTTTAGTATTGTGTTCTTATTTTATGCAATCTCATAATTTATTAATTTAATTCATCTTCATTCTTTAGTTTGTCGAAAAAATAGTAATTTCTATTCAATCAAATTAAATTTAATATTAAGTATATATTTTAACTGTTTACATTATGATAATTTAATAGAATAATATGCTATCCTATTTAAAATATATATAGAAGATGCAATTGACAACGTTTATAGTTTTTAAGTCAATATTTAAGATTTTTCATTACAAAATAAATTTTCAATATACAAGGTGATCCAACTAACGTAAGACACTCATTTTCTCGGAAAATATGAATATTTTGAGAATTTTTTTTTTCTAAACTTTAAGGTACATATTTTACTACATTTTTCAATATTTAGACTTTTTTTATCTTCAATCCTTATACGTTATAGAACTACGAAACTCGTTTTTTTGCAAATGGAAACATATGTTTTTAATTCCATAATTTTGTAAACATTTTTTTAAAAAAATGTAAGCGTTTGAATTTTCAATTTTCAACTATCTATTCGTTTTCTGTGACTTAGTAAAGATTTGAAATTGAAATCAATATTTGTTCGGTTTTTCAGCAGTAGCACTTTTATTTGCCAGTAAATAATGATAATATTGGACCCCGTCGATAATACTGTCACCGATAATGAGACATAAATAACTCTGGCTCCAGTTTTTTTTTTATTATTATATAGACAATCGATTCTTAATCTACCTGTTTGGAAACAAATATACCTTACATAACCGTCATTCGTTCACATGTATTATCAGTATACTGCGATGTGGGCGTTTTTGCCTTAAATCACTTTTACGGTATGTTTCAAATATCAATATGCACTAGAGTCTAGATGTGCAATATTTTAGTATTGAAAAACTGTATATATGAAATACTCATTTTCACTATACGCACCACGTTTTTTATTGTACTTAACTATTGTACCTTTTTAAATTATTTATTGTTCTTTTCAATATAGTCACTTCATTCAGAATAATATTCAAAAAAGAATTGTTGAAACAAAATTGTATTATTATTCATCCCTTGAAAAGTTATATAATACGTATTTGTAAGAGATGAAAATATTACTCCCCGTTTAAATAGAAATTCAAACGCTAAAACTTTTTTGAACAATTTTGTCTACAGATTTATGAAATTAAAAACATACGTTCCCATTAAAAAAAACAAAATATTCTAAATATTGAAAAATGTAGTAAAATATGTACCTAAAAGTATAGAAAAAAAAAATATTCATATTTTCCGAGAAAATGAGTGTCTTACGTTAGTTGGATCACCCTGTATATTCTTATAAAACATATCATAGATGTATGTTAAACTTATCTTCAGACTAATTTTGCAGCACTTAGCTCGTGAGGCGGGGGGTTTGACTAAATTTGAGTTTAAGGCAATGTGTGTATAAAAGAATGCCTATTATGGATACGCTAGCTCTGAATCATTAATAGACACAATTTTAAAGCTTGTAGATATAAGTTAGGAGATATAATTAAAATAGTACTTTTGTATGAGTCTAAACCAAACAATGAATTTATCAGGCTTTAACAACTAGGTTATTGGCCTATGATCTTTAGTAGTTGAGGTGGATATAAAAAACAGATGATAAATAGGTAAAAGAAGTCATTGAATAACTCAGCTTTCTATAAAGCTAAACGATGTAAAAAAAAATGCTTATACTCTTTTTCGCTAAGTTTTACTATCAAACTTGAGTAAGATATTCACTCTACGTTTTTTTTATATTGTTTAAGTAACTATTACAACCATAATTTTTAAACTAATGTTATAAGTCCTTGTACTCAGCAACCGAGCAATCAACAAGGCGAGTGACAGTATGACCATTTCAACTAAAAATAATTCCTTTTTTTTATTTAAGTTGTGAACTTATCATGTCCTATATACCATACAAGTATTATGATGTACTTATCCTAGGAATAATCCGATTAGGGATTAGAAAAAGTATTTGATTTTTTCATAACTTTTTCAAGGAACGTTGTATAGTACTAAACTTGTTTTTGTTGATCAATCATTTCAGTTTAAAAAAAACTATTAATTGCATGTATTTTAGTTTAAATAAATAAATAATTAAAAATAAGTTGAAAATTGTGCCACGATCAATGTCTAACAAATATTATAAATAATTCAAATGTTTTTTGAAAACTTAATTTAAAGTATTCTTTACTAGGTAAGTATGACAGTACATTATACTTAGTAAGATAATAAATTATTTGAAATTATTTCACAACTAGAGTTACACAATTGGGTTTGAGACGTTTAACGCATGTTTTCACCTTATGGTGAAGTTTTTACTGACTACTATCGCAATAAATGGTGATGCATAGTCTCTTAAACTGTACTCTGATACTCGAATAAAACAAAAATAACACTTATTTTAAATGGTTCCAAGATAATTTATTATGTAAATTGTATATAGCATATTAAAGAAATTTTAAGAAATGTGTATATCTACAAGGTCTCTTTAGTTAATTGCGCAGCCCCTCTTTTGTCCGGGCTTCAGTCTCGGGGTGAGTTTGCGCCCTTGTGTATGATGGTCAGGTAATACTTCATAGTAGTATCCATCATCCCACATTCTGTACTCAATTTCCTTACTCTCGATGGCATATTTATCATATTTAAAACGACAGCCATGGTTTCCTTTGAAAGTGGAGGAATGGCTATAAAATATGTGTCTGCTTGGATTTTCTATAGTTACGAACAAAGCTACTAAATGACATCTCTGCTCCAAACCAAAATGATGGGATTGATCTTTAAAAACAAATTGTTTTTCATTATATAGAGCTGTAACATCGTAATATAATGTCATGTTCACGACGACTAATTAAGCAAGGAGGCGAGGCGACAGTGTGACCGATTTGAATGAAAATATATATTTTTATTACAAAGTGTGAAAAACTGCACAGTCTTCATCTTTTTAACCTAAACAGATCAATAGAATAATTTGAATTCCATATAATATAACACGATAGTATGACATTTGACAAGTCATATATTTTTTTATCACAAGGTTCAGTTGTGAAGCAAATTAACAATTAGTACTAGACAATTAATGTAGTATCATCATTCTGATCACACTGAAACTCGCTTTTTTGCTTGAATCATAATATTTTACTTTTTGCGACCCTCTGGGTTAAACATACCTTCGACTGCCTGGAGTAAACCTAATACAGATCCCTTAATTCTTTTTCTTCTGTCTATCCCCAGTTTAGCCAAAGTAATCTGCTCCGAGACTGCAATTAGAAAACATAATAACATGTAAATAATGATGAGACATTCGGAAATGTTTAATTTATTTTTTGACTGTTCAAATTTCGATGAGAAGACATCTTAGTTTCCAATGTGTTTTTTTTCAAATAAATTATGTTTTTTGTGCATTTGGATCTATAAGATAACCATGGACCGAAACTTTGCCTAATATATATTCACTCTATAAATGATAAATCGTACACAGAATCATTGCTGCAGACAAAAATAGAAACAAGTATTTCTCTTCGCAATCGAAACCGGCAAAATATAAGTGATTTCATAACTGAGTTAATTTGTATATATTACTTATGCTTAGACGACGAGGATCTTTCCCTAAAATAAATAACACATTAATAAAAATTAATAATTATAAATCAGTGTTTGAAGATGAGGAGAGGGACATAGGTGATATAGTATCCTTAGAGTATATAATTCTAAACAATTGCAGAGGACCTAGCTGGTTTTTCCAATCTAACGTTTGTTGGTTTTATAATTTATTCGAATCACATTTTTACCATAAATACTCATACTGCGCTGTAAATCTTTCTCGTAAGCTTCCAGACCTGAAATTTAAAACACATTAAATTTAAAAGTTTTTATTTACAGTAACATTGAAGAATATTGATTGCTGCTGTTATGATTACATAGATATTTAATACCATAAGCTTAATTTAAAAATAATTTATAAACATGTGTACTTCATAATATATTCACACACAAGTACAGATGTATGAGCACAAATTTTAACTCCCTCTGTAATATTTAAGTACTTGAAAATTGTATCATTACAATTATTTTAATAAACTTTAAACACACTCACTGAAGATTTCCTCTTTAAAAATCCCCCACCATAACCATTTACTAGTTAACTCTACACAACTTCTGTATCACTTCTATAATGCTATGCAAGTTCTTGCATACAACTTTGACAACTTTACTAGTTTATGTAGGTATCGGATATTAGATTTTACACAAAACTCTTTAAAAACGGACCACATGCAATTCCTATAAGGACTTTATGACTAAGTATACATTAAATATTTACTATCTGGAAAATCCCAACCTTCTTCACCTTCGTAAATCGTGACTGAAAAATCAACGTATATAATTATTAAAAGTAAAAATAGGTCTTATTCGTTACAAATAATTTTTTTAAAAATTATAATTTATAATGAGTCAGGCATAATACTTGGCGCGGCAAGAATCGAAATTTTCTTCTCTGAAATTTATAAAATTTATCGGTAAACGAGATTAACTATTTACTCGACATTGTTATGATTAAGACAGGAGTCAATAAAATCAAGTCATAGAGTATATATAGGTATATTATATATAGAGCTGTGACATCATTTAATGTCCTGAATAGTAACGCTATTAGACGACGTGACTGCTGAATTTACAACTTTGAATTTTCGGGTTTATGTTTAAAAAATAAATTTTACACAAATCAATATGTTGGAAACACGTTGGCTGCCACGGGTACTTTTTACATAGTAAAAATATACACAAGGTGATTAACTTATCGTGAACCACTCAATATCTCTCTGGGTTCAATAAGAAATATAATTTTTACTTTACATAGTGTTTTTATACAATATGATACCCACCTCCCCACTTTGTTTTTTTGATAGTTACTTTTGAAACTTAAATGGTAACACATACATTTCATTAAATTTTTAATTTATAATAATGTACAAACATATTAGACGGGTCGATTAAAATTACAAGTCTTTTTATAATGCCATGTATTAAGCTACAGAGTAATCAAGAAGGCAAGAATATTTTACTTTTGAGTCAAGCAGAGATGTGGCGGGACTAGGACCATTTTCGAGTTCTAAAACGTTTGCAAATTCTGTTTTAAACCAAAACTCTCGGAAAAATTTTGAGTGTACTGTTTAAACAGCCTTGTATAGTTATAGAGATAGCAAGTTACTAAGTGCCTAATGTAGAAAAGTTTTCGAAATTAACAAAAAGTTTTAAAAAAATGTATTCATTTAGTCATTGGCAGAGCATTTACTATTATAAGAATTGATATGCTTACCAATACTCATAGATCCAAGTAAATAAGATGTGACTACATCCCTCAATTTCTCTAGAAAGACACGTGTTTTTAAATTATGTATATTTATATAGTAAGGTTAGAGCTCTTTTGTTACGTTACAAAATAATGTTCCAATGATTGTAATTAATGTACCTTAAACTATTACATTTTAGGTCTAAAAACTACGAGCAAAGGTGAAATGAGCAAAAAAAATCAACCCCAACTGTAAAGGGAACAAAAATATTTGAAACATTTTACTCAGTAAAATTTCAATATCAACAAGTAGAATTTTCATTTTATTAGTTTTTGTGAATCAACATTTAATTGTCAGAGAAAACGTAAAAAATACATTGTTTATAAATTTATTAAATATTTTACCTTCGTTTAATTGATTGAGTACATAGTCTATGATTAAAAAGCAAACAAAAGATGTAAAAAACTAGGTAAGACTTAATTGATATATTGTACATATATTTTACAGATAAATAATTATTGGTTATACTGACTTGTATGGTATACGAGATCTTTTAAGTCATCTAAACAGAAGTTAAAATAAAATAAAAAAAGATAATTTAAACTATTGATTGAATCCGGAAATTGGGATTTTCACTAATAGTGCTATTTACTTAAAGCTGGCATGAGTTTTAAACAATTATTCAATATTAATCAAATATAAATCTGCGTACCCATATTAAATATTTGCGATGAAAATGTAAAAATAAAACACAAAATCAATAAGAAAATTTTCTTTCTGAATTTGGATTTGTTAAAATCATAAAATCCGTAATTCAAAATCCAAATGCAACATATAGTCAATATTAAGCGTTTTTTTTATTACTTTACTTAAATACACAGCATACTATAAGAGTAAGTGGCTTAAAAAGTATTTATTTAAAAATCTGTATTTTTGGACTGCTATCACTTATTTAAACCTCAAGTATTTCAGAAATTCGTGATACGTACCTTCGTGTAATGCCAAAACATATCCAAAGACTAATGTCATCAAAACACAAAAATGTTTCATTTTTTCCTGAAGAAAATACAATAAATTTATCTTACAGTTACAGTTGCCAATGGATTATTTATTCATTTGACAACTATGATCCTTAATGACTAATAAAAACACTAAACTTTAAATGATTATGAATTCTAAATTAATTTCTATGTAAATAAGTCTATAACACAACATTTACAAAACACAGTAGCCTCATAACTTAATATTAATTAATTAATAAATATTTGGTTTTATGTATTATTAGATTAAAATGTTTATACATTTTAAAGTATAATATTCAGTATTTTTTTGTCGATTTTCAAATTTTTTTATGATGCATAAGCCATAGCTCCTTAAATAATCGTTTACGATAATATGTTTTACAAAATGTTACTCACAAATTAATACACATCGTATATTATAAAATGAATATTGCAAAAATTTAAGAAAAATTATTTTGTATACATTCATAGAGAACGTACACATAGTATGTATTACAGCGATTCATGTTTTCATGTTTCAAACAGATACTTGGATCATTCGACGAATGTGTAAGTAAGATCATCTGCTTACACAAAAGCTAACGATACACTTAATTACGTTTTTTAAAGAGTTTTCACAACATGTTTGTATAGTTTTATTATTGTTTTTTATCTAAAACAAGTGTTCCAATATGACAGCTGCTCTGTAAGGTGTTTGGTTATGTCGTTTGTTTGGGCCACTATTCAAATGTTTGAACTAATGTTTTGCACAACCGTAGAACCCCAGCGCTCCAATCATTACAGCGAATAGCTATTTTGCACATTGAATATACAATATTATTCCATAAAATTGTCCTTTCGTAAACATTTATAACTATTACATTCAAATTTTAACCATTAACCAAAGAAAAAGTTTCGTTTAAGAAATTAACGAGGAGTATACAACTATGACCCTTAAGGACTAATAAACAACATATAATTGAAGGGCACAGGGGAAAAACGGTACATTATGAAAATTTTAGAGTATAGCAAAAACGAAGTTTGTGAACTCCTCTTAAATAAGAACAAAAAAAATCCGTTATTCCTCTGTGCACTTTAATTATCAATGATTATGAATTCTAAATAGACTTCTATGTCATTAAATCTGAAACACAATATTTAAATACAATAATTTTTGAAAACAACTTGGTCAATTTACAAATGACTTTTTAATATTACCCTATAAAAAAAATTGTTCAAATTAAAAAGTAAATTGTTTAAACAAAATTTTTTGGACACAGTTATTATTTTATTTAAAAAAAAAAAAGATTTTATTAGTTTAAGCGAGTAACTTGATATTTGTTAGTACACTATCATAAGGACTTGAGTTATTATTATACAATTTTGTCAAAACATTAGTTTATAAATTATGGTAATAAATAATAATAATTACTTGAAAAATAAAAAAAACTTATAGTGAATGTTTTACTCATGTTTGATTGTAAAACTTACTTAAAATGATTTCACGCTTGCAATACCAAACCAATTCGAATAGGGTGTTAAACTAAGTTCCAACTTATCGGATGTGGATGTCTTTCGGTCTTTTGGTTATACTAATATTAAATTTTAAACATCATGTTAACGTGTAAAATCGAAATATGGCAGAGCTATGCAAAATACGAATTGTTTGAACGGCTCACAGTAGAAAAAATGTTTTTTTTTTTTAATACCACATATTGTGCAAACGTAAATATTATATTTTTTTGAAAATGCGTCATTGGAATTTACAATATTATTTCAATACATTTTGTTATTGGAACCAAATTTTATTTTGATTATACCCAACAAGTTTGAAAATCTTGACTAGAATCCGCTAAAATTACAACATCCTATCGCTGTTTGAATGAAGTATTAAATTAACGAAACCCGTTTGGAAGTATTTTTATTGAATTCAAAACGATTACAATTACCGAAAAAATACTTAAATGATTATATGATGAAATAATTATAAATGTTCCTTAAAGCCTAGAGTATTGTCAGTAGTTTATTACTCCACAAAAGCTATTCATCTAAGGTCTTTTCTCTATTAGCTATATTGACTGTTATAAATAACATTTACAGATTATATTATTTAGGTTTAAATATGCTAAAAGTATTTGATAATATATCAAAAACAAAATGTAACCATTAAATAATTTTTACTAATTATAACTAACTTTCTTAAGGCAAGGGATGTAAAAGTAAGATGTTGTCAGTCCGTATTAAACCGTAATACATAAAGGTTTATTTGAAAGTTATTTCATCATTATTAGTTACAGCACTTAAGAACTTGTAAGTTCTCCTTCGCCACTATACCCCAACCCTAAAACACATTTTGTTTTTTTTTATATTAGCTTAACGCTTTGTTTATAATGTTTCTACATTTTAAAATAAAAAAATGAAACATTTTACTTATCTTCAGACTAATTTTGCAGCACAAAAGCCCGTGAGGCGGGGTTTGACCAAATTTGAGTTTAAGGCAATGTGTGTATAAAAGTATGCCTATTTCGGATACTCTAGCTTTGAATCATTAATAGGCACACTTTTAAAGCTTGTAGATATAAGTTACGAGTTATGAAAATTGTGCCACGTTCGTTGCCTAACAAATGTTATGAAGAATCAAATATTTATTCAAAACTTGAATCAAACAATTTTTTACTGGTGTAGTATGACATTGTATTATACTTAGTAGAGTGATTTCACAATAATTAGAGTTACATAATTGTGTTTGACACGTTAAACGTTAGTTCTCGCCTTATAGTGAATTTGGTACTAACTACTATCGCAATAAACGATAGTGTACAATCTCTTTAACTGTACTACGGTATTCAAAATAATTATAATACAAAAAAAAAAAACTTATTTTAAATGGTTTTAAAATATTATATTATGGAAATTGTATAAAGCATATTAATGAAGTTTTAAGAAATGTGTATATCTGCAAGATGTCTTTAACAAATTGTGCAACAACACTCTTGTTCTTTTTCCTTTCTCGGGGTGAGTCTGTGGCCTCTTTCATTTGTGCCAAATACCTGATAGTAGTATCCATCCTTCCACATTCCGTACACGATGTCCGGTTCGTCAGATTTATTATGTTTAAGGCGACAATTATTATAACCGTTGACCACGTCGGAACTGACAAAAATTATGTGTATGTCGGGTTGTTCTATATTTACGCACAACGCTATTATACGACATCTCTGCTGCATATCAAAATCCGAAGTTTGAGGATTACCTTTGAAAACATAGTTTTTGAAAGTATATAGAGCTGTAATATCGTAATATAACGACATGTTCTCAACGAATAATTAAGCAAAAAGGCGAGGCGACAATGTGACCACTAAAAATATATATTGACTGCACAGTCTTCATATTTTTAACCTATACAGATCAATAGAATAATTCGAATTCCATATGACATAATACGATGGAATGACATCTGATAAGTCATATATTTTTTATCACAAGGTACCAGTAATGCAGCAAATAATAAATTAGTACCGGAAAATTAATGTTGTTTTATGATTCTGATCACATTGCAGCTAGCTTTTTTGCTTGAACCGTAATATTTTACTTATTGTGACCCTTTGGGCTAAACATACTTTCGAATACTTTGAGCAAACGTATTACAGATTCCTTAATTAAATTTCTTCTTTCCTCCCCCATGCCTGACAAAGTAATGCTATTCAAGTCTGAAATTATAAAACGTAATGATGTGTACATGTTAATACATTTTTAACTTTATTTTTTGGCTGTTTGAGCGAGTTTCATAATTTGTTTATATTACCTAACATTGGAAGTGTCCGTAATGAGACATCAAGGGATAGCTTTGCTGCATCTTTAATAAATAACGAATAATTAAAATCAAACAATGAATGAACGACCTATCTGGTATTCGACCCATCTAACGTGTTTCGGTTTTATAATTGATTCGGTGCACAGTGTTACCATAGGGACTTATACTTGTCGGTATTTTTTGCTCTCCATCTACCACATCTAAAATTTAAAAAACAAAAAAAAAAGTTATATTTATTGTATCCGTGTCGTTGAAGATCAGGGATTATGATTACAACGAAAATCCTTAAACAACAAAACACAAATACACAAACTTCATTACCTTGCGGATATTCCTCATTCACGTTAGTGCTTGTGTTTTCTGAAATATTAACGAATATGTTAATTAAAATTAATCATCGGTCGTAGGTCTTACAAGTTAAATTTTAAGTTTTATTCATTGACATTTCTAGATCGATGCGGAGATGAGAAGATTTTGTTGCCAATGTATAATTTTTTCCAAATTAATTAACTATTTTTTGTGCATCTGGATCTATGAGATAACCGTGGACCGACACTTCGCATAACAATTATAAATTAGTGTTGGAATGGGTGGGGAGGGGGAAGGTGTCAGAGTATCCTTAAAGTAAATAATACTAAATAATTGCAGATGACCTAGCTGGTGTTTTACCAATCTAACGTTTTTTGATTTTATTATTTATTAGGAGCACAGTCTTACCATAGTAACTCTTACATTCCCTTACAATATGTTCCTCGTCAGCTCCCAAAACTGAAATTTAAAACACAATAAATGAAAATGGGCTCAAACATAACAGAATAGAAGCCAAAAAACTGGAATCCCTTTACAGAACTTAAATTGGACCATTCTAAATTCCTAAATAGTCGACATTTTGTTTAGCTTTTTGATTAAAAATAAGTAACTTTTACTCGTAGTAAAAATTGTATAAATTAAAAATAATACTATGAAGTTTATACAAATTGACCAAAAAATTATTTAACATGGTCGAAATGTATTCATTTATAATATTAATAAATAATGGTCGTAAAATACAAAAAATGTATTACTATTCGGATATTCCTTATCTCCATCCTTGAAAACCGACGCTGAAATATCAACGTATATAATTATTAAAAGTAAAAATCGGTCTTATTTGTAACAACAATTTTTTTTAAAAAAATACTAATTTATAATGTCTTAGTCATAATACTTGGCGCGGTAAAAATCGAAGTCACCGTGTCTGAAATCAGTAACAAATTATCGGTAAACGTGATTGGCTATTTACTCGACATTGTTAGACAGGAGAAGTCAAGTCATAGAGTAAAAATATATAGAGCTGTAACATCATTTAATGTCCTGAATAGTGAGCAACGCTATTAAACGACGTTTCTGCTATGTTTGCAACTTTGGGTTTATGTTAAAAAAACGATTTTTACACAAATCGATAAAATGGAAAAATTCACACGTCGGCTGCCACGCGTAAACGTTACAGATCAAAAATATATAGCATTATATGCGCTTTTACTATTATAAGAATAAGCGTGCTTACCAACATCCATAGAACCACATATATAAAATTTGACTACAGCGTCCTTTTGATCTAGAAAGACACATGTTTTTAAATGGTCAGCGAAAACGTAAAACATACATTGTTTATAAATGTATTAAATATTATACCTTGGTCTAATTTCTTGAGGATACAATCTATGATTGAAAAGCATACAAACCATTATGTAAAAATA